AAGAAGAACAAGAACAATAACAACAACGACAAGAAGAAGAATAACAAGAACAAGAACAAGACCAAGAACAAGAACAAGAACAAGAACAACAACAAGAAGAAGAAGAAGAACAAACAAAACACAACAACAACAACAACAACAACAACAACAACAACCACAACAACCACAACAACCACAACAACCACAACAACCGCAACCACAGCAACAACAACAACAACAACAGCAGCAACCACAACCACAACCACAACAACAACAATAATAACAACAACAATAACAACCAACAACAACAGCAGCAACAACAACAACAACACAAACCAACAGTAACAACAACAGCAGCAACAACAGCAACAACCGCAACAACAACAACAACAACAACCACAACAACATCATCAACAACAACAACAACCACCACCACCACCACCACATCATCATCATCATCATCATCATCGTCATCGTCATCATCATCAACAACAACAACAACAGCAGCAGCAGCAGCAACAGCAATAGCAGCAACAGCAGCAACAGCAGCAGCAGCAGCAGCGGCAGCGACAACAGCAACAACAACAAAAACAACAACAACAACAACAACAACAACAACAACAACAACAGCCACAACAACAACAACAACAACAACAACAACAACAACCACAACAGTCACAACATTCACAACAGTCACAACAACCACAACAACCACAACCACAACAACGACAACCACAACCACAACCACAACCACAACCACAACCACAACAACTACAACAACCACAACCACTACCACTACAATAACGACAACGACCTGTCAAGAATGCACGCTGCAGATGTCGGCCGGCCTCCGTCCTTCCTCGGATGGGCGGGTGTGAGGTCATGAAGTGATCTCAACTGGTTCGCATTAGCTAAAGCCGGTCGAGATTGAGCTTGATGCAATCTTCAATTCACCGGCGCCAGCTTCACATAAAGCTGGCGAGCCCTGAACCCACAAACCAGAAACCCTACAGGTAGCCGCTGCTTTTGAAGAGCAAAACTGCGAATCCACCTTCGCCAGGGACCTCTTAAAGGGGTCCTTTCAAAGGTCCTTGAGGTTTAGGGTTTTAGAGTTGAAAAGGGTAGGAGGCATCTCTCTTTCTGACTGCAAGGCACAAGCCCTTCGGGGTTGGATTGATCCAAGCTCCGGTGGTCCGGACCCAAGACAGTTTCTCTACCGCCCAAGGTGCCTGTATCAGAGCCTTTCTAAAGCCCTTCATAAAGGCTACTTGGGGGTTTCCGAAAATAGGGGACCCTAATATAGTACCCGAAATACTAGGATCCTTATTATACGGACCCCAAAATACGGTACCCTTACTTTCGGAAACTCCCACTTAGGGTCTGATAGAGGATGGTTAAGGCCGCGGCCGCAGCTGACCGTGACCGTCGGGCTTCATGGGTACAATCGCGCCCTCGCCATCCTCTCACAGCCGAATCCACGAAAGATTTCCAAAAGAGGCTGGAGCTGCCCTGAATCATGGGGCACTTTCCTTGTCTTTCTTTACTTTTGGTGGGAGAGGAATCAGAGCATTGCTTTTGCTTGTGGCTTTTACGTCAAAGATTTCTGTATGCTCAAAACCTATGTACGAACTTGACTACACGGACTTGCGCAGCGACCTGGCCGGCGTTTGGAAGCTTTAGTTGATGCGACTGCTGTGAGGTGAACTGGTGCTGGATATCCAGATGTTGATGGCCAGCGCATCCTGCTTGGTGCTCAGGAGCAATTCTGGATACTTGCAGGGAAGAAGGGAGCTGAGAGTTGTCGGAGTACACGGACACAATGTCCGGTTGGAGTCGTTGTGACCCATTCGGTGCTGCGGTTTGGTGTTGGTCTTGCGCGATGTCGAGCGCCTTCACCAACCCAAATCTGACACGGTTGGATATCTCGGCAGACAGTGCACGCCGGGAAAGAGTTGAGATTCCGGATTGCGGTAGTGAGATCGTGGGTGTTGTGGATACGCTCACATCTTCTTCCATCGATCAGCAACCAGGAGCACAGGAAAAAGACGGAGAAACAGACCGGCAGTTGCCCTGCGGTTGTCATCCCGGTTGACTTCCTGTCGTGTTGATTCTTCTCATTCTGTGCCGAAGATGCGATTCGCAGGCACAGTCTCTTCAGGCATTGCGGGTACTTTGGCGAAGCGACCAGATTTCTCAAGCGAACCGGCTCTGTCTGAGTGTCTGTAGATTTGCTCCCAACATAAACGCGTAGTCTTCTTTTTGGTAGTACTGTAACTTCTGACTAGTGGTACTGGAAGTTGTGGTGCTGCTGCTGCCGCTTTGATTTGGGCCGCGACTGCTCTGCTTCTGCTCCTGCAACTGCTGCTGCAATTTGTACTACTGCAAAGATAATGATGACGATCATAAAAAAAACAAACAGCGTGCAGTAGCAGCCGCTGTCAGTACTGATGACTGCTCAGGTGCCTGCACCCAACGCCACTGCCACTGCTCGCAAGAGATTAGTTTAACAGAAGACGAAGCACACGAGCCGTAAGCGCAGCACTCACCCGAAAGAGAAGCTCACCAAAACAAAACATCGTGCACATCCCACTGTGCCTGTGCAGCGACTCCGTTGTTGCTGCCAGCACGACCTGCAGCAGTCCACACAAAGCCGCAGTCGCTTTTCACAGCATAGGCTTCTGGACAATCGTGTGGATTCACTGAGTGGTTGCAGGGTCGAAAGAATCCAACCCACTTAGAACTGCCATTTCAGAAGGGTTTTCGTTGGGCAATGAAAGTCCGGACATCGCCGCCACGACTCCGTCATCACCGTATGCTGCCCGGAGGCTTATGTCGCAGTGCATGGATTGAAGGTATTGCTGTGGCCCCGGCTGCTACGCTTAAAATGGGAAACGTCCTGGCGCCTTCTGTATGGTGCATCCATGCGCATTTTGAGGGCACTGCTCTCGGACAACAACATCCGTCGCTGGAAAGCTTAATTGGACCTGCCTCCATCAAGCTGTAAACCAGATTGAGAAACCCTCGAAACCAAACAAGAATCCCCTTGGATAATTCTAAACCGTTCTGACCCCTATTACCCTTGCGAGCCCTGTGGCCTCTGTGAGCTAAACCCCTCTGAAACCTAAACAGCTTAAACTTGAACCTAAACCCTTGACTCCAATGAACCCCAAACGCGCAAATGCGGACATGTTCGTCAACCCGGGACCTCCTCTTGCTCTGCGGCCGCCACCTGACCTGCGATCAATGAGTCTGAGAGAGAAGAGAGATAGGGAGGGAGGCATCGAGAAGGACCGAAACAGAAAGAAACAACAGAGAGAGAGAGAGAGAGCGAGAGAAACTACCTGCCTTCAAGCAGGATGCCTGCTCTCGACATTAGGTGCCTGAAGCCCAAAACCCAAAAGCATAAGCCCCTAGACCCCCGTGGAACGGAACTGTTGATCTACCACTCAGAGTTCCAACGGACCCTGCTCAGGGCGCATGCGGCGGATTCACCCGCCAACCACAGCCTGCTTGTCACCATCCCAGCCCCTGTGCCTCTCAGCCTTGTCGGTATCCGAGCTAGTGGCCGGGGTCTCGCCTGACACGAGCACGGGACCAGGCCGTCGGGTTGCTCTACCCAGGGCAGAGGGAGTCGGGATGCATGTAACTCAAGAATCGTCAACTCGCTGTCCTTCTGCTTGGCCCGAGCTGTCGCCCTTGTTGCCTCCATCCGACCTGTCGCCATGGACACGGCACAAGGACAGATCTTGCCTCTGATCGCAAAGAAGCCCTCCAGCCCATAACGAGGTTTCAAAGGCTTACGCCTACGCCGGCCTACGCCACACGAAACGATCAGCAACCTTCACAGGCTTGGCGAGATATTCTTGCACTGTGTTTGGCGGTGCAGGTAGGAATCCTGCACGCAACCCAGGCTGGGGGGCCCGTTCTGCCTTCCCCCGAAGAAGAAGCGCCGTGATTGGACCGGCAGCACGGCTGCCTAGCACAGGCAGTCCAGGGATCACCGTACAATTAATCCATTACAGGGGCAATTGCATACTCTTTTGGCCGTGTGTGGCGCTGAGGCGCTTAGAGGCTGAGGAACTTATAGAGGCTGGATAGAAATAAGTAGTCCCGCCTGGCGCCTGCAATGAATTAATCAACCCACTCTGCGCTGCTGTCCTCGCTGCACCGCTGTTGCAGCAGCTATCGTTTCGCTTTGTTGGTGCTACAGCATTATCATGACCGCGCGCTTGTTGTCTACATGATCTCGTCGTCGTCCTCGGAGCAGGAGTGGTCGTGGTCGTGGTCGTGGTGGTGGGGGTGGAGTTGGCGGTGGCGGGGGCGGTGGTGGTGGT